GTTCTTAATTTGGACTCCTTTAATTTGAGACAAAAGTATAATTCATAACCTAGCACTTTTAATTTGACCCCTAAGAAAAATTTGTTCAAGATCCGTCACTGTCTACAATTAAAACAATACAAACTACACTCATTATGGACATAACTCCACCAATCTAGCTTAGGCTAATTAACCTAAAAATCAAAACCCAAAAGAGAAAAGGGGAAAAATATAAAGGGGACACAATAGCAAGGCATTTAACTAAACATTCCTTAACGATATAATACATTTTGTAATCAGTCTTATAAGCTCTTCCAATGTTGAAGCGGCGAACCTCAACAGCTAAATTAAATAGTGATACGCCTGGAGAGTACTACTAGTCATGGGTTTAAATTATACAAGTAATTAACTATTCCTAAATTAAGGGGAAAATAATTAAATATGCTTACAAAACCTAATTTGATCAGAACTTAATGCAATCAAGTTTAATCATCAGCCTAATTTACAGTGTTATTTCCAGTATCTTCAAATATCAAATTAGCTGCTTGATAAGTGATTAGCTCAGATTGGCCTGAAAGTGCTCAACTTGTGCATGGCACGTTCAACATTCTAGTATAGACATTTATTATTATTGAAGACCATCATTCATTCGTCAATTACTCATAAAGATGTTATATTTATGGGATTATGACTTATACCTATATTCTCTCTAGGCATTTTTCTCTTCCATTTAATATTTTGTCCAACTTAACTTATTTTTGCTAAACTTATTACGAAGTATATTATTGCTAATTAAAACTTAGTTAAGAACATTTTTTTTTTTGGAAACAAATCAATTCATTAATAAAAAGTCATCCAACATCTACAAATGAAATCTAAATTAACAAATACATAAAATTGAATCAAATTAGGTTTTCCTTCACTAGAGCTACGATCGTTGAAAAGATTTTGCACTATGGTACATCTCTCGCACACATCGCTGGAATATACAGCCTTTTCGGAGAGACGGTCTAACGATTTGTTGTAGCCGTAAGGATGATTCTCATCTGATTCGCCTGAACGCATTTTAAAATTTGACAACCGTTGCAATCCCGAACAAATCTTTACCAATGAACTGACAATAGGGCAAAAGATGATTACTTTTTTTATGAACCCTAACACACAAACAAATAGATTAAATGTTTTTTTGATAATTTTTTCTAACTATCTCTCACATGATCATTGTTTTGGTTGCCTATTGAAACAACTACGAAGTACAAAGTATAACAAGCACAAGTCATGGGGATGACAGTTTTGTCCCCAGAACTTGGGGTCTTGAACAACAGCACAAACCATTAATGATGGTGAAAAGACGATAAAGGTGGTAGCTAGTCAATCAACAAAGGGATTTAGTGTCCGTGAATGGTATCAACTATTGTATTAATTTGAAATGGAATTATGTTTACATCATTACTCTCTATGCCGCTTTAAGGCCCCGTTCAGTTCAATTTATTTCCACTTATTTTAGAGTTAAATTTCTCGTCGAAGTGGTCATATGTTCTCTTCTTGTAATTTGTGGCTCAAAGAGGGGAGGAGACCTAGGAGTTGATGCTTCATTGACTTAGTCATGAATCATTTAAGCGAAGCCACTACTGTTAATTGATTTACTACAATCATGGTACAAGTACTAGCAAAGCTAGCAAGTGGGTAGAAATTTCGTGATTTGGAAAGTCATTAATAAATTCTCGTACCCCTAGTTTGTACGTTGATTAATAATCAGTTCAAGTTCCCGTCAAAATTTAAGTAATTAATTAATTCAAATTAATCCTGTTTATTCAAACCAAAAAATATAATGTTATCAAGTTTTGTGTAGATTATAATGAATTAATGATACTACTTTCTTGGCTGTTCCGTTATTAATGTTTCTATGCAATGTATTGTTAGCTTGGGACAGAGGCCAAGTAATCAGCCACTAAATTTTTGACTTTGTCCCTGCTAATCCATATGTTCTAAAGCATTGGTTATTGGACTACTTACTGTAGTAAAATATCAACTACTTTTATAAACCTAATCACACTCAGTACTTAAAGTTCTTGTTACTTGTCTCTCGAAGATCACCATTTTCCTCTCTGATTTGGAGATTGTGTTTTAGCCCTCTTAGGTGATACAACTGATACTTGTATGAGAGAGAGCAATTATGTAATCTATCATCTTACTAAGCTAGTTCCTTTTGGTGTTGAACGTGTATGGAAAAACCATGCTCTTACTAGAGGTTTTCCCGTCACGTAATCTCGTATGTAATTGTGGACATTTTATTGATGAATTAATAAACTATCTAGTTTTATTTATAATAATAATAATAATAATAATAATAACTTATGTTGCTTCATTCCTGGGATAGAGGTTTTGATGGGGCTCTTCGACCAGCAGATGTGTTGCTTTATTCCTGGAATAGAGGTCCTAATGTATGTGTTGACTTGATGGAGTCTTTACCTTTGACACAATCGAGGTTGTCTGACTTCGTTTCTGGTCGTGTTGTGTCGGTGGCGGCTCAGCGGAAGCGGAAGAAGTATGGGTCGCGTTGTAAGGCTATTGGTTATGGTTTTCTTCCTTTCTCCTTTTCTTCGTTGGGGGAATTAGAGAAGGATGCTATCGCGTTGCTGAAGCAGGTTCAAACGTTCGCTAAGATTTAGGATATTGGTGCTCGTGCAGCTGCTCACATCTTCAATAGGATCGGGTTTTCTATAGCTAGAGGGGTGGGGGCCCAGATTGTATCTCGGCTCCCCATCAATTTCTTGAAAATTGATTGACTTTGTAAGTTTTTGTTATTTTCATATAATAATAATAATAAGGATCTTGCTAACGAACGCCCCCGAAGCGTTGGATAAGAATTTAAAATATTGCCTAAAATGATATTAATTTGGGAAAGCATGACAAAATAACGCGTCGATCGGTGTAATTCATGCTCATTTTAATTTAATCTTTCGACTTTTAGCTAGCTTATCCAACGCCCTCGGGGCGTTCGTTAGTTTTTGCCTAATAATAATAATAATAATAATAACTAATTTATTGTAGGTTGTATGACTAATGTTTTTGAGATATAATAATAATAATAATAATAATAATAATAATAATAATAATAATAATAATAATAATAATAATAATAATAATAATAATAATAAATAGTAATAATAATAATTTATAAAAAAAAAAAAAACTGAAAGAGTATTACACTGAAACAACTAACATTTAGAATTGTCCTTTTTATTAAGTCAATACGTACAGTAAAACAACTAACATTTAACAACTATATATTTTATTTTAAATATTTATGAATGTTATCTACTTCATATGAGGTTTTTTTAAGTGACAAATATGAAATACTAGGTTAGTTCACGTGTCATACACTGTAATTTCAATAACCATTATTAAACTATCATTGTAATTGGTTTTATAAGGAAAAAAAAAATCTAAGAATATAATTGACAAAATTTTATCAAAGTACAGAACTACAAAGATATGTTAGGTATAAAATGATGTATAAAATAATCAAAATTATGTTAAGAAAGTTTTTTTTTTTTTTATATATAGCTATATAAATATTTGTTTTTAAATATGTCAAATCCTTTTATTTTTAGCAATTATATTGTAATCTATAACATTAGGGAATTATTTTTGTATAAAAATTTGTTTTATAATATAATTTCGAAAAAAAAAAAAAAAACCTAAGGACACACCAGGAGATGGACGTGTCATTGCTGGTGTGTCATTTAAGTATTTTTTTTTTTTTGAGGGAATTTTAGTATATAGTTATTGATTGATTTAGTTGCAATATAATTTATTCAATACTAAATTTTTAAAAAAGTCAAAACAAACTTGTGCAATCCTAATTTGATACAAATAGTAGAGCGGTACTTCTTTCGTTTTTTTTATATACATGCATCATATTTTTAAGTAAATTTTAAATTTGAATTTTTCTGATTTGGTCTGGTTTAATCTGATTTAACAATTTGACTAAATTTTGACCGCATTTTAATAGTAATCTATAAAAAAAAAACGTTATCAAAATGAATCTTGTTAGATTTTTCTCATCATTAACTTTTTTTATATGTAATTTTTATTAAAAAAATTTAATATGCAATTAACGCTATTTTAATGTAAGTAAATAATAATCAAAAATTTTAATCTGGTCTGATTTATATCTTTCTAATTAAGTCTGATTTGATCTGAATTTATTAAAAAAAATATACTACGTATTTAGAATAAGTTAAAGAAAACAAGTCCTAAACAATAGAGAGACTTTTGAGTGAGGAGTAATAAAATACAAAGGAAAGGGAGTAAGTAAAGAGTAAGGGCAAGTGGGTGTATTGGGTAAAGGTCACGTGATATAGATACGAAGCTCGTACCGCGGAGAATCTCTGAAAATTCGACCACCCAAAAATAGTGAAATGAAAAATATTTACTTGTATTCACCTTGTAGTTGAAGCCATTGGATTACATAGTCTCATAGGACCCACGCTTGTGACGTGGCAGCTCTCCTTCCACCATCGGATGCGGCGCCTCGCAAAATATCTCGGAGCTTCACCGGAAAGAAAGACACTTCTCTCTCTCATTAATACTAAAAAAAGTGAGGGAGGCAAAGCAGCAGAGAGAGCACACTATACTAATCTCACCCAACCCCACTCCCTCTTCTGTAACCCATTACCCTGTCACTACCACTTCTATTTATTAACTAACACACACACCTACCCATGCTAATATGCTATTTTACTCCCTTTGTTTTCCAAAGATGTACCAGTACTTGTTTAATCTTGGTTAACGATTTTAAGGTTAAATCGGAAATTTTCATTATTTACGAAATACATTGTAAATTATACAAAGTAATTATAAATGATTTTATTCAAATCGTTTCAATATGTAATATTACCAATTACAAAAGCATGTTGAAAAGTGTAACAAAAAACAAATGAATTTAACTTAAAAATCAACTATATATGCATCAATGTGCTTTTTTTTTTTTTTTTTTTTTTTTTTGACGGAAAACTATGTATCAATTTTACTTTACACTATTTCCATACACTACTTTAAACTCTTGACTAATATTAGGGTTTATTCTCATACGTTTATTTTCAATTCAGTTAGTTCACTTTCTAACTTCCTTCTCTTATAAAATATTCATTTCACTTCAGTTGAGTTTAATCAATGAGAACATACCCTTAATGTTGTATGCATTACATAAGTCCTAAAGAATATGTAGATACAACAACTTAAATTCTCAATGTACAGTTTTATGATACTCTGTATTAGTTTACAGTATTATTTGTAATTGTTTATGTTGGTTAACATTTTGTGTTGACAAATATACTTGTTAAATTGAGACATTTATTTTAAAACATTTTTAGTCTTACCAAATTAAAAAATAAAATTTAATATCCTATAAAACAGCACTACTATTCAGTAAAATGAAGTTGTTCGTCAAAATTTTACAAGTGACACAACAGTATTCCGTTATATTCTCTCTCCTACCCACATACCCTCTTCTTATCTCCTTTTTCTCCTCTTTTTTCTTCTTCTTCTTCTTCATCCTCTACTCTGTACTTTACTGTATTTTCTCTTCATTTCATTTCAGTGACTCGTGCTATCAAAGTAGTTGGAAACCAAATATTCTTCTTCTTCTCTTTCTCCCTTTTTCCCTTTTTTATTTTCTATCCTTTCTCAGTAAAAAGAAATACACACCCCCTCTTTCTCTCAGCTTTTTCTCTCTCCTCCCTCTTCAAAAAAAAAACACCTTTCTCATTTTTAGAGAGAGAAACACAGAGATTTTGTGCTCCGTGCTTATTGTTTTACTCACCCAAACTCAAGATTTTCTTCACTTCCAATAACATTTTGAATTCCTTAGCTTCACATAGAAGCGGTTGTTTACTTTCCACTACTTTATTATTAATCATCCTCTTCTTATTTCTTTTCTTCTTTATTCCTCCATTTCTCAACGATTCTCTTCTTCTTTCCTCCCTTTTTTTCTCTATATCTCGCACGCCCTCTTCTTTCTATTAAATGTAAAAGGCAAAATCAGCTCAATAAATCAATTTAAGTTCGTGATAAAAAAAAATAGAATATCATGGAGTCGTCTTCGAAGATACTCCACCCTGTTAAGTATACTGAACATAAGAATCATACAACTCTCCACAAAAAACCCCGAAACAAGTTTCATCATCACTCTGTTTTTCCAAAAATAGTAAGAATCTCTGTTACCGACGGAGACGCGACTGATTCTTCAAGTGACGAGGACTACTCCGACGACTCGAGACGACGTCGTATTAAGAGGTTCGTTAACGAGGTTAACATCGAGCCTTGTTCTTCTTCCTCTTTTTCTTCAGAGGCTGCTGTAGCGGTGCCAGCAAACGGTGTCGTTTCGAGGAGGCCGAAGAAGAGAGGGAAATGCTCTTCTTCCGTGAAACAGAGTAATACCTTAAATGTGAATGCGAATGGAGGGAAGAAGTTCAGGGGAGTGAGGCAGAGACCGTGGGGAAAATGGGCGGCGGAGATTCGAGATCCTCTCCGACGTGTACGGTTGTGGTTAGGCACTTACGACACCGCCGAGGAAGCTGCTATGGTTTACGACAACGCTGCTATTCAGCTCCGTGGACCCCACGCGCTCACTAACTTCTCCACTCCAAATTCCGACAAACTCAAAGAAACTCACAAGAAGCTTTCTCTCTCCACCACGTCATCCTCCATTGACGACGAAGGCGACGACGGGTCCCACCACCGTCCTTCCGTTTATTCTCCGACTTCGGTTCTTCGTTTTCAACCCGAACCCGAACCCGTTAGCCCGAAGGAGGAGGACGTAGTGGTGGTAGTCAAAGAGGAGGAACAACAACAAGAACAACAAAACAATGTTGAGTTATTGGGGAACCCGTGCTCGTCACCTTACGTGTCGTGCGTTGATTCGTTGTTTCCAAGTGGGTTCTTTGATTTTGAGAATACGGTTCCGAGTGTACCCGACTTGTTTGAGCATTTGGGTTTGGATTGCGATAACGGACAAGTGTTCGGTGAGGATTGTAAGTTTGGGATGTTTCTCGACTGTGCCGATGATCGTCACGATTATTTCGGGTTATCGGGTTGGTCTACTAATGATTATTTTCCAGATATTGGAGATATATTTGGGTCCGACCCACTTCTTGCTCTTTAACTTTTTCTTTTTTTTTTCGCCTTAATTAGCTTTTTTTTGCCTATTAATTTGGCAAATACGAGTAGAAGGTTTTGTAAACAGTAATGAGTGAGGCAAAAAAAGGATGAGTGAAAATATGAGTTCGGGTTAGCTATTTTAGTATAATTTTTTTTATTTATATTTGTTGGTTTAAATTCGTTAATATTATGTGTTTAGTATCATATATTCGTATGTAATCTATTATCAACAAGTGTATTTATCGTAAGTATGTAGCTCCATCATATTAATGTCCACTTGATATATTTAAATGTTCGTTCTCCTTTTTTTTGAAGTATCTACAAGTAAGGTTTTAATTCTAATTGAATTACAAATTCATTTGCCTAACATGATTATGATGATTTCGATATGCTTTGTACATCATAGTATACAAATTTTGATTTAAGTTTTAACCGTGTAGTAAAAAAAAAAAAGTAGAAAAAGGAGAGTCAAAGAATGTTTAAAAGTTGGAAACAATGCAATATAATTACAATTATGTCATTGTCTTATGAGTCGTTCATCACCTAAAGATAGTTAAGTGATAGATTGTGTGCATATAAAGAAGTACCATTACAAAGTTGATAGTGATAATTTTGATATATACAAATGCATTTGGAAAATAATTTGTGGAAAATATAATTGACTTATCAAGAATTGTCAAATCATCAACTCACTAAAGATATTCTTAGTACATTACTAATGGAAGATGTGGTGAAAATTCTCCTAATAAGGTTGATGCTTAATTCTTGGTCTTGAGGTGGAAAGGCCACTTAATATAAGTAAAGCCGCCACAATAATTAGACAAAACAACAATAATTAAAAATCATTCCATACAAATCCATGTCTTATTCCATTCCCTACACTTGGAAAACATGGTTTATAAAAAGGTATGTTCCATTTGATTGCATAATTAAGGGGACCCAGATTATCGCATTTAAAACTCAGAATAAAGTTAAATAAACTTCTTAAATTTAAGAATAAGTATCAAACATGAGAGTATCATACTAAAGTTAAAAGACAGACTAAAACAATTTGAAAATAGAAAATCTTATGACTGGAAATAAATCTTTAATTTAGAAATTTATTTCACTATCTATGATATAAAATTATTGTATATATAATCACACAGCGTATAAAAGTATCTCGTATAAATTTTTGTCGAATTCCAATTCAAGTATCATACTTGTATTTATTTTGGCCTTTAGAGTGCATTGTCGAGGTTGCACCCTCTAGCAAAAGTCTCAACTTTGCCTTTTATGCTATAGAGCACAAAAGCACTTTATATTTCATCTCTTTGCTTTTTCAATGGAACCTATATAGGCCATCAATCATCAATAAAATTTCTATCTTGTAAGAATAAATTCCTTTGCTAAATTTGGGTCATCTACAAAAAAGAACTCTTTCACCTTAAAATTCTTAATCCCTTGAATTATAAACGTGGTTTAATACACTACAAACTAAGGAATTAATAGAATTAATAATATGTTGCCACTAAATGTTTGCATGAAATTGATTCTGATAAGTGATGCTCACAAGTTGCTAATTAGAATTAGCCCCACTGCATCTTCCTTTTTTCTTTTTTAGTTTATTAATTCCTTTTTTTTTTTATTGATTGATGAGAGCACGCCTTTAAATACGAGTAATAAATAATATGGAGTATTTTAAGCAAATCCCATAGAGTCATGTACTTCCTCCGGATTTTTACTCTGTAATTGCAATATTGAGATGTTCACAATTGTTATTGTAATTATAAAGTTGATACTCCTTTCATCTTATAATAATCGATTAGACAACAAATTTAGATAACATCATTGAAATACATGTGAGTTTGCTAAGTGATAGATATTTGTACAATCTAAAATTGATTATGTATAAACTCATTTTCCTCAAACGGACTGTGCACTCTTTATTTGCCAGGATTCAGAAAGGACGACTATAACTAGCATATAAAATGATTTAAAGTCTTAAATACAATTATCACCCCAAAACTCTACTAACTAAACCAATTAAAATACACGATGTTCATAATAGGTTCTCATTTCGACAAATAAATTAACATAAATTGACATGATTAAGGCCAATTAAGGGCGCATGTTAGGATATTAGCATGATTACTAAATGAGGGTGTAGTTTCTCTTGGAGCTGCCTACTAAATTTGGGAGGTGAGAAAAAGCATTCAAATAGAGAGGAAAAAGCCTGGAGATTGGAGGCCAAGAAAATGCTTTAGCATTACTCAAGACAATGTAGTACAGAAAACTGTTAAAAAGAAGAGCAGAAAATTATACAAAAACAAAAAAAATAAATATATAAATTATTAATTTATTATTTTAATATTATTAAGGGGTCAGGTGAGATACTCAGATATGGGGGGCTGTTTTTATCAGGCTACAAAGAGGTCCCATCTTATGGGCCCACTTAACTAAGTGCTTCCCCCAACTTGTGATTTGCCAAATTTGTTTAGTGAGATTTTATTTGGCCCAAACTTCCTTTTTAATTACTGGGAATTGGGGCATGGGCTCTTTCTTCTTCTTCTTCTTCTTCTGGTTTTTTTACTTCATTTTTTTACAATATAAATGAGTAGGATATCTTTTTTGAAAAACTGAATTCCTACATTTTTGGTAGTATAATTTCCTATAACTTTTTTTCTATGTAAACCAAATTTAACTTTGTACTTCGTATTAGCTAATACCCGGATGTATTAGATTTGTAGAAACGGATAATCTTAATAACAAATGTAAAATCTATAAGATGAAAGTAGCACTTATATATCCTTAAATAAGCATCATGAAGTGAATTTTCTATAGGGTTAAATATTATAATATTATACATACTTGTATAATACAAGTATAACTTTTAACAAGTGGCAAGTAATGAGCTTTGTTGAAAATTATCAAATATTCAGTTGGCTTTAATAATTGCTAGCACCAAATGAAACTAAAACAAATACAAGTATAAAAGCGTTTGGAATTAATTTTTACTTCGATAGTCATCATCCCTCTTTTTCTTCAATGTCAGATAACACACTCGTAAAACAACAACAAATGTGCAAATTTCTGAAATCCATTGTAGCCCACTTGTGAGTGTCTCACATTTGAAAAGAGGGAAGGTGGTTCTACTTTATAAGGTAGAAGAGTAAATCCTACTATTGTCAATTAATTTTAGTATGGAATCATCTAAGCGTTGTTTGTGGACCAAACTCTCCTCGTCCTCCTTGTTTTGGGTAACCCAGACCCATTTCATATTAGGGTCTGTTCTGATTGGAGCTGAACTGAATTGAAAATAATCTGAATAGAACAAACCATTAGACAAAAACGATTCTTAAATAAACTAATTTTTCGGTCAAAATCCGAAAAACATAAGTTGCTTAGTCAAATCATACCCAACAAAATCAAATAATTAAACAAAATCCAATGTGGCCATCCCAAATATAATCTAGTTGTTCCGAAAATCCCACAAAATCCTGTCTTATAGGATGACAACAATTGAAGTATCTTCTTAAAAGGAAAGGAAAGATATTTTAGAAAAGCATATTGTATACAATTTTATTGAAAAGTCGTTATCAATTTTAGCTGTTTAAGGGAAGCAAGTCACGGATATATATGTATGCATTTTGATATGAAATGGTCACACTAGAATCTGGTTCACTTATCCCAAGTTTTGTAAAAGATTATATGACATACGTAGCATATAAAACCACCACAAATTTGAGCAATTTTAAACAAGTTGGGAGAATTTACATGTTAAAAAACCACCAAAAATCATCAAATTAGGTGCACAAAATACCAAAGAATTTATCTGATATTCTTAATAACACAATAGCATTGGTACCACATTAATTTTATTTTGACATGTATGTAATATGTATTCATGTATTGTAACTTGTATGACTGCAAAAGTGTAAGGCAATCAGCCTTCTCCGCTGACTAACTATGTCCTTTCCTATGTTTTTATTTTTCTATGGTTTTTATTTGATTAACCCCTCTTTTGTCTCTTTGATTTTGAGTTAATGGCATGATTTAGGTTTTGACAAAATGAATATCCATACAATCAAATGATTCATGATTAATAGACTACATATAATTTGCCGATTTAATTTTCTTTAGGAAGGGAATGAGATAATATAAGCTCGATTGTGATTTTATTCAAAACTAATCCCAATGCTAATTTCACTATTAGTTCTGATCACAACATTGAATTTAAAGTATCTAACATTACAAAACTAGTATAGACCAAGTCCAAACCCATATCCGCTCAAAAGGTAAATATAGCACAAGCCGTCAATGACAGTGTTAATTATACTAAACAATATGCCTTATTGTTGAAACACATTGTAGCCCACTTATGAGTATCCCACATTAGAGAAACATGAGAGATGGTTCCACTTTATAAGGTAGAGGAGTTACTCCTACTATTGCCAATTGATTTTAGTTTGGAAGCTCCAAAGCCTAGTTTGTGGACCAAATTCTAGTCGTTTTCTAAATTTTTTCAAAGGTAAATTACTTGACAAAAAAAGGTAAAAAGGTAATTATCAACAAGGCCACTTGTATAAGAAGTGTTGTTCAAAGAGTTATGCTCCGTTCATTCAAAAGGGCGACTCTTTAAGTTGAGTATTAGTAAGGACCATTGAATAGCAAAGCAAGAGTTTGTGCATGAGCTGGATTTGGCATCAACTAAAAACTAAAGCACTCTATGTTGTAGTCATGCAAATTAGCAAATGTATGTATCCCTATCTACCAGCGAGAGGCCATTTTGTTAGGGGTGGTAGGAACCATCTCTCAAGCTTGGTTGAGGTTGTATTCGAAGTCCTTTTCTTTAAGATCCTTATATAGTGATTCTGATAAGGGCACCCTATGACCCATAAATAACCCATATCATGTTAAAATATACTAATCTTAATAATATAGTTAACCTAAATATTGGACTCTAACAAGAGAGGATATTTTCGTGCTCAATACATTTGAAATTAAAGATAATAACTCTATATACTACATCCGTTCATGAAAGTTCGACTCACTTACTATTTATGTGGCCAGAATAAAATAACTTTGACCACATGTTATGATTTATTAAATAACTTTGACAACATGTTATGATTTATACAATAAATTTAAATTAATATGAGGAATCTTATTAGATTCCCCTAAAATTAAGATGAGGGATCTTATTAGATTCCCCTTATTATAAAATTTTTAAATATCAACTTTTTATAATTTTCAGTTATACATATCCAAAAATATTCATGGTTAAAGATATTTATTGGAGACCGCGCAAATACAAAGTGAATCAAACTGAGGGAGAACAATTCAA